ACTTGGCACTATACACAACTGAATGCACTACAAGAAACTTATAGTAATTTCACCGTTTTAGGGTTTCCTTGTAACCAATTCGGGATGGTAAGTTTTTTATTTTATTTTATATATAAACTGGTAAAATCTATCTTTAACTTCTGTAAAGGATGTTTATTTCCTGTAGTTGTTTCCTTCGAACATTTCTTTCTGTTGTTTTTAAATAATGGTTAATTGTTTTAAGTAGAACAGTTATAAACTTTGCGATTAAAAATTATTATTATTATTAAATTTTTTTTATTTNTTCTTTCTGTTGTTTTTAAATAATGGTTAATTGTTTTAAGTAGAACAGTTATAAACTTTGCGATTAAAAATTATTATTATTATTAAATTTTTTTTATTTAACTTATTGGAAAAACTTTCAACTCCTAGAAGGTTTTTTTTAACTTTTATCATAATTCTTAAATAAATAAGAATTGTACAGTCTAACATCCGAACAATGGCCATTAGCTGCTGTTTAGAGGTTATTTTATGTGCCTCTTTATTTAAATAATAATAATAAAATCTGAAAAAGTAAGCAATCGTTGTTAGGAAGTTGGAAGTTAATCGTAATTTGATTTTTTTTCAGGTTATATTAAAATTATTTAACAAAAACAGGAGATAATATAAACAAATAATAGAAGTTGGGAAATCCTCGACAAATAGATTAATGCTAAATAAAAGATAAAATGTGGAACAAACCCGACCGGAAAGATGGAAAAATTAAATGAAATTAGCATAAAGAATAAAGTCGAAACGTATTGTATTATCATATCATGCTATAGAAAATTAAAATTTGCAATCTATCGAGAGTAAATTATAATCAACCCAATATTTACATACTTTAAATTGACTTTTTCGTTATTAAAAATAAGGAAAAAAAAAATCAAAAATTTTTAATAATTATAATAACTTATTGTTGAGAAATCCTCTAAGAATTTTGGTATTTAATATTACATATAACTAAATGTTTTGCATTTGCTATAAAATAAGTCTTATTAGATTTTCTTCGCCTTGGGGGCACTAAGAAGATATTTTAATCATACCCTTTGTGGGTTTGGCAAGGCCCACAATAGGGTATTATTTTATGGTTTAGGGCAAAGCCACAAAGGGTATGACAATAGGGTCGAGGCCCGATATTCGGGACAGACCAGAGAAAAATTGCTTAGAATTTTTAACTCCTCGGATTCGATTCCGGATCGCCCAGAGCGGCAGTCTTTAACCGCCTCTTAAATCACGTTTTTGGCATCATATTGAAGAGAGTCCATTAATTAATCCATTGTATTTTTAAAATAAACTTCCATTATTATAATCTTTTGCAATATTATTTAAATCAGTAATATACATATATTTTTAGCAAGAACCCGGAGGCGATGGCACAGAAATTTGGAACGGGATACAATACGTTAGACCCGGTAACGGATTTACACCTAATTTTCCAATCTTCACGAAGATCGAAGTTAATGGCGAGAAAGAGCATCCACTTTATACTTATCTGAAGGTAGAAAACTAATTGATTTTAAATTATTAATTAAATAATAACTAGCGATTATTAAATTAATGATTTCTTTGCAGAAATTCTGTCCTCCAACTCGAGATTCATTCGCACCTAAAGAGAAACTTTTCTATTCTCAACTTACTAATAAAGACATTCGTTGGAATTTTGAAAAATTTCTAATAAATCGCCATGGTAAACCGGTAACGCGTTACGATCCAAGCGTGCAACCCCAAATAATAGCTAGGGACATCGAACATTTACTCTCTTCCAATATACTTTAAGTCATACGAAGAATTAGTGTGTGTATTGATGAATATTTCGCTCTTACTTCCTATAATGAAGAATAAATCAGCACCTGTCTTTCAGACAGTTGGTTTATTTGGAATATATTTATATCCCGGTTTGATCTTGTGCATTCAATCATTCTGGAAATGAATATTTACGGAAAGATTTGAAGTGGAATATTTCAAGTTTTGTGTCTTTAAAAGACAATATGAATATTTTTGGGAAATTTTTTGATGATTTATAAATATAATCACTATTGTATTTTTTTAAATAAATGATTCATGATTTAATTATATTTAACCATTTATTTATAAATAATTTTTCTACACAATAACATAATTTGTGGTAAATAAATACCAGTCGATCCCCCCATAACACTGTTGATAATTCCGTTTTATATGAATTTCATGTTGTACGAGTCACTTAGATTTTACAAATACGTGTACCGGGCTGTAAACGGCTCACGTATTTGTAAAATCTAAGTGACTCGTATAACATGGAATTCATATAAAACGTAATTATCAACAGTGTTATAGGGGGGTCGACTTGTACATAATTTTTAATCTTATTTATAATGTATAGACCATAATAAAAACTGGAACTCTGTTCAATTAAAAGAAATACGTGAAATAATTCACAAATTTCTATTAAAAATATTCTCTTCAAACATTATTTAAACTTGTTTTATTCAATTTTATAATAAGTACAGATTATTTTGTTTACTATTTGTTAAAGTATTGAAAACTTTTGTTAGTTATTTAGGTGAAGGTCTTATCAAACTAAGAAACAAGGTCTTTTCGAACTGTAGATACTAAATAATAATGTTTAGATGATTGATTTTAAATTAAACTAACGATTTCTTTCGTTAAATAACTTTTTTTTTATAAGAGAAATGATTTATAGAGAAGAATATGTAGTTAAATTATCCAAGGTTATCAGCTGTAAATTTTCCTATAGATACATATCAAGTATGTATTCAACGTTGTATAGTATATTTAGCAATTTAAATGCGATCCAATCTGGTGTGGTAACATTTCAAGACACGTAGAAGACTTCTGTAAAAAAAAAAAGAATCAAATCTCAACATTATGGCACTTTTAACGCTGCAAGCAACGGAAAAGCGGCTGTATAAGCACACGTGGATGTACTGTATTTTGGGAATTTATGCCGAGGACCATGGACTTTACAAGAAAGGATGAATGATCACTCGATAAAGGAAATTGAACGTCTGGTCGAGGACATAAACCTATCATTTCACATGTTGAAGATGTTTCCACAGTTATTGGGTGAATAGTCAATAAATATCCAAGCTTCAGTAGAGGACGTGCAATGTCACGGCAGTTGGTTGTATCCTGTGGCACAGTGTGGAAGATACTGAGAAAATGCCTAATTTTCCGTATCTCATTCTCTTTAAAACTTATAATTTCTTTTATGAAATTGTTATGTGAGTAAATAGCAATAAAATGTTAAAAAAAAAATCTCTCACCCGAAGGGATCAGCCAAGGGAGGATACTCAGAAGAATCAAAATACATTCACGAAATCTCAAAATCGCACTCTTCATAACAAAAAGTGCAAAACAATATAAAGTCAATTGTTGAGTTCATTTGTTATGAAGATATAAATGAAGATGAAAGAAAATTTTGTATGTTCCGAATTTAACACGAAGTTG